ATTTTTAAATATTCCGCGTCGGGGTTCCCTTCATAAAATTCACCCCAATTTTATCCCTTTTTTTGTTCGGGCGCCATTATACCGGCTTTTGTGTTTGTTTATTGTTAATTAGGAATATCTTTTGTTGTTTTTGTTCTCATTTTGATACTGCATCAATATCAATATTGGCCCAGTGTGCTGTGTAATTTTCGCTTCATTGTTGGGTATTATAAATATGAAATCGAGGAATGATTAGGTATTAATATTTTATGGTTTTGTTATACGGAATGTTTCCTTTTGTTTGATTTGTACATAAATGTTAATCAAGTAGTTGTATGGCAAATACAATATTTAACTCTATATATGTTTTGTTATATTGTGAATGTTTAGAAAATGTACAGGGTGGCGCCTCTCATACGACGTGGAGGCTCCAAAGAGAACGGTAGTTTATATCGAGATGAAAGTTTGGTAGCATATGTAGGTTAATTGAAAGCATTTTATAAAAATATATAAAATTATACAGGGTGTCCCCAAAAATAGTTACACATCAAAGTTGTGTTATATATTGATTTTCGGATTCTAGGAAAAAAAAGGTGAGTTTTATTAAAGAAGCATATACAAAAAAATCTGAGGATTTTGACATATTTCATATTCTGTGAAAATGAAGAATAAATTTTAAATTTCTATAACAGCTACTTAAATTTTAGTTGACCTTGTACAGCCTGGTATTTAATTACAGTTACCATTGTATGTTAAACCAAATTAAAATTTGACCGGAAGAGTTATACAGGGTGAGACAAAATCAATATGAAACATTAGTCACTTTTAAAAGCAAGTTACTCCTTTATTTTAAATAGTTACACACAGTATATTATTTCGGTGTTCAGTGGGGAATTCATATACCTTCAAAATATTATTAATGTTGCCTACCCCTCACACAAAAATTTTCCAAGATATTTTAATTTTTATGATTTTGCGTCAGTAGATCTTTATTATTTGAAAAAATCTAGGTGGCTGTGATATACCTTTTGTTAATTTAACAAAAATTAAAGAATGTAGAGTAAAATACTCAACGGTAATAAAAAGATACACGTTTAAAACATATTTTAATTATTACAAAATTAAAACTAGATATAAACCTACAATTGTAACAAAAATTAGCTAGATGAAATCAAATGCTCAAAATGCTTCCTTTCCTGTTAACTGCATAAAACGATTGTCTTTTCAAAAGTATCTTTTCATTTTAAAAGGCATATGAGGAGTTCTAC